TTAAATTTATAATAAAAAAAATAAGACTGCACCAAGTAGTTTACCTATATTGTTATAGATTATGAGCAAAATATGTGTAACAAATGATGATTTTTTATAACAAATAATCACTTTAAAAATTAAAAATTCATCTTTGCTTAGAAAAAAAAACAACCACTCGGCAATATATATGGCAATATATATGGGTTGTTATTATTTGATTGCCACAGTTCAAAATTCAAAGTTTGAAAGCATTATAAAAATTCAAAATTTACATTTATTTAAATAGAACCCTAATTTAGATTATTGAAATAGAACCCTAATTTTGAAAGAGAAATAAGAAAAACCATGTCAGGTACCACTCTCACTCCCAACGTTGACGGAGGCTTGAAATCCATCAAATTGAAGAAGGTTTGTTTCATCGGTTAGGTTTTATAGTATTGAATATATGTTATTAGCTTCTTATCTGGTTTCTATATATTTTCAGGTTGAAATGTTTGATGACATTAGTGAATTGCCTGACTGTATCATATCTTACATCTTCACAAAGTTAACCATCAAAGATTTGTTGAAAACTAGTATACTCTCTAAAAAGTGGTGCAAACTTTGGACTTTAAGGAGAGAGCTTTACTTTGATATCTTCAATGTCTTTGAATATACCGAACAACAACTACTACAAAAGGGGTATCTTATTGATGTCACTGTCCATAGTACTTTTAGTTCTACCGTGGAGAGAATGCTCAATTTGGATATTAGTAGAGATCCATTTGTAAAACGAGTTGATCAATTTCTCAAGCATTCTCATGCCACAATTATTGATTCTTTCTTGGTCAACTTCTATTTAGATTCTCAACAACAAAGCATCATTGATGAATGGATACGTTTTGTAATTGCAAGAGGAATTGGAAGAATGGAATTACTCTTTTGTGGAAGCCCTTACACACTTCGCAACATGCCTCGCAAACCTTATAAATTTCCCTTCCATTTATTTCCAGAGACTAATGCTTCAACTCTAAAGCATTTGCGTCTTGAATATTGTGTTGTTTCCATTCCCCCCAACTGCAATTTTATTCCATTCAAAAATTTGAGTTTCCTTTCACTTATAAGTGTAAAAGTGGATGGAGTTTTTATTCAAAGTTTAACACAACTTGAAGAGCTTCACTTAATTCAATGTGAGCTCAAATCATTAACACTAAAGATAGTGAGTTCTTCCTTACGTCATCTCAAAGTTTCATTATGCTATCTCCTATACGGCAACTTCCAAAAGGATGTAAACCTGATTTCACTAGATTGCCTTAAACTAATTTCATTGGACTACGGTGGACGTTGTTCGGCTAACATGAACTTTAATACGCCTATGTTGAACAACATTCAGCTCTATGTTATATGTAGCGAACAACTTCTTAATGCATTCAGACTCTTGGCAACTCTTCCTAAACTTGAGATTCTGCAATTAGATCTTTATTCAATGGTTAGTCATACAATGTTTTACTTTCTTTCTCGTTTGAATTATATTTTTATGAATCTTACATTTTCTTATTTAGGTACCAACTTCCCTAAAAATAACTCACCCACTCGAACATCTCAAGGAGTTGAACTTGATTTTTATCCATCCATTCGACACCCCACGAAAATTAGAGTTTGATCTTTCAGGGATCTTAACCATCCTACAAGCTTCTCCACTTTTACAAAAACTTTCAGTCATGGTGAGTGAACATGGTTAATAATACACATGATTTAGATGTTTTGATTTGTATTCATTAGTATAAACTTTGATTTTACTTTTTACAGCTCACATTTCCTGAGATTATTGAAGATCAAAAAGTTGCTAGGGATGTTGATACGTTCTCTCATGAGGAGGTCAAAGTTATTGAATTGAGAGGTTGTGTTGGCAATTGGTATGAAATTGAGTTTGCTATGAATGTTATCAAATATGCCAACAAACTTGAGCGAATAGTTTTGAGTCCATATTGGAGAGATACTGTTGAATCCGTGGATTGGAGTTCTGATCTTGCATGGTTTCAAAATGGGCGTCAAAGGATTACTGAAAAGTTTCAAACTGAAGAACTAGTTGGAAGAGAAAAACTAGTGCTCATATAAGACTGCGTAGTTCTCTTTTTCTTTCTGTTTTACTTTTAGTGATTTATATTAATAACAAAGTTTTTCTTTCTGTTTTAATTTTATTAGGATATTTAATAATATATTTATTTATTTTCTTAGTTTAAATTTCATATACGGTTCAACCATGGTTTAACCGATTGAATCTTAACTTGCATGTTTTAACGGTTATTTTTTCAGTTCGGTTTTTAAAACATTAGTGTTTATGCTATCAGTTGTACCATGATATAATAAGTATTTAGAAATTATTATACAATGTTAAACTTGATTAACAAAAATAATAATAAAAAAAGTAAAATGCATCAGTGGAGTTATATGATTAACAATCTCACTGTTTACTGAATTATAATGTTATGCATTCGATTACTTGCTTGCGCCATCTTGACAATTCTGTATTCGTATCCCTAAATAAAATAATAAGTAATGTAGGATTGGATACTTCAAATTTTCCCAAACGTCATTCATTCACAACATTTGCATCAACTAAACGTAAAAAATAATTGAAATCGTATTTCATGCATTTTTATTTACTTACCTACTTCATGTATTGCGTGAAGTTGATCAAAATTCAATCAGAATAAAATTCCAATTCTACAGGAAGATCTGTAAAAGCGATTCGACATTGCACTTAAAATTAGCAGGCGAAATATTTCGAGCTTTGACCTGTACCAGACTATTTTATGAAACTACATTCCACGTAGGTTATTTCGGTATGCTCGTTTTATTTTTTAACTCAGTTTGCTGTCACATTTTGATGAGTCAGAGCAGTTTAAATGAATATTTTTATTTGTGAGTTTGATCATTTCCAGTCTATTTTATTGAACTTTGTAGCATGTAGATCACTTTGGTATGTTCGTTTCTATTTTTTTGACTTAGCACGCGTCAAATTTTATTCATTTTCAATTCATTGCGAACTCCCTTTTCTTATTCAAAAAAATTAAAGAAAAATATTTTAGTAATCAAGTGTTTCCAGTGATTTCTGGTAAACAACCGCTAGTCTTCCAAACTATCGAATAAACTTACTGACTGTTATTCAATTTCTCTAGTAACTCGCAGGATCGACTAGATTGATCCTAGGACTTATTGGTCATTAGGGTAACTCTCATGATCGAACAAATATTCATGGTTGGTATTTAGAGTGTTGTGTAGGTGTTTGACTTATTTCGATTTCTCTCTTAAAGATCTAAAGGTATAATCAAAATATATGTGCGCGAAACTAAATTGCATGAATAAATGTTAATTGTAAAGACATGTAAAATTGCATAAAAGACGAGTAAATGGCTTCGAATTATAAAAACAGTTAATGTTGAAATTCTGGCTGCAGATACTCAATGTCACGTTTAATGTTATGACACTGTATCTGACTTTCTATAAGACAGTAAATACAAAAACAGTAAAGAACACAGTCAATTGTTTACCCAGTTCAGTGTGCAACAACACCTACTCTGGGGGCTACCAAGCCAGGGAGGAAATCCACTATAAGAGATGTTAATTCAGGAATAAACCAACCAGTTTATCTCCTTCACTTAAGACCTACCCAATGCAATTTCAATCTAAGTACAACTTAAACCAGAGTTCCTACTCACTCCCCCTCAATCACAGCAGTGATACATAAAACAATTTGACTAATTAATTGATGAAGACACTCTTCAAAAACATACACTTGATTAAGCTTCACAGCTTTTTAATCAAGCAACACAACCACTCTTGCTTCACAGCTTTGAGTGATACACACAACTAACTTGACTCTGCTTCACAGCTTTAGTCAAGAAACATACAAACACTCTTGCTTCAAAGCTTTGAGTGCTACACAACCCTTACAATTAAAAACCTATTCCAAGTCACTTATCACAATGATAATTGCTTGGAGTACAATAATTAAACCTATACAGTTTACAAATGATCTTCTGACCAAAAAGGGATTCCTTGCAAAACAGCAGCTCTGTTGAATATATAGCAGCTGCAACTTCAGTTAGGGTTTCCACAAAAACCTAGGGTTAAATCCGTTTGACCTTAAGACTAGGTCAAGGACTTTATTAACCAGGTTAGGGTTGAGCTAGGTTAATCCAAAGAAAACGCAGGATTCTGTTCTGGAAAGACTGAGTTATTTTCCTGAAAAAACTCAGAATTTAACCAACCTGCATACCTGTTAGTTCAGAACAGGATGTCTTAACATCTGTTATGACATCTGAGAAACCTGTCTACTGATTTAGGAAAATGTGATCATTTTGCAAAATGCTCAGATACTCACTTATAAACATCAGTACCTGAATGACAATATTTTTCTGCAGAGGTACCTAATGAATCAGTACAAACTAAACTAGAATGTTATGACATCAGTCATGACATTCACACATACACTTGGGATTTACCAAAAATGCAAGCCAATACCCAAACAACTACAAATGTAAAAGATGCTCTGGAATGTAAAAGATTCGAAATATGAAGAAAGCGTTTAATGCAAGAAATCTGTAAAATGACTTTAAGTAAAAATAGGCGTTCGAAAGATAAAACTTGAAGATAAAGGCATGAAAAGTATGACAGTTTTCTGAAATGTAAAGTGTTTGAAATGTAAAGAAAGCATTAAAATGTAAGGCTTTAATGAAAAGATTTCGAATAAAAAGACTTTAAATGAGAAAACTTGTAAATGGTATTTGGCAGAAAGATAAAGGAAAGTACTGGAAATGATAAAAGGTTTTCATTAAACCATAAACATGTGGTGCTATCATACGTACATTGCTCTTGCATTCGTTTCCCTAGCCATGTGGTAATTTGAATGGTTACTGAGTATTTAGTACAATAGATATGACACACGAAATCCTAATACTAAGACTTCTATTTATACTACTTCGACCATAACGGTCTTGCTATAAGATTATGCCACGTTCAGAACATGCAGAACAATGCCTCTCTCTTGTTTCCACGTGTCTCCAAATGCTCCAGCACATAAATTTCAAACTTCGAATGTCCCGCTTGCATTTGAATTTCAAAAAGTTGCTAGGGATGTTGATACGTTCTCTCATGAGGAGGTCAAAGTTATTGAATTGAGAGGTTGTGTTGGCAATTGGTATGAAATTGAGTTTGCTATGAATGTTATCAAATATGCCAACAAACTTGAGCGAATAGTTTTGAGTCCATATTGGAGAGATACTGTTGAATCCTTTGATTGGAGTTCTGATCTTGCATGGTTTCAAAATGGGCGTCAAAGGATTACTGAAAAGTTTCAAACTGAAGAACTAGTTGGAAGAGAAAAACTAGTGCTCATATAAGACTGCGTATTTCTCTTTTTCTTTCTGTTTTACTTTTAGTGATTTATATTAATAACAAAGTTTTTCTTTCTGTTTTAATTTTATTAGGATATTTAATAATATATTTATTTATTTTCTTAGTTTAAATTTCATATATGGTTCAACTATGGTTTAACTGGTTTAACCGATTGAATCTTAACCTGCATGTTTTAACGGTTATTTTTTCAGTTCGGTTTTTAAAACATTAGTGTTTATGCTATCGGTTATTTTTATGAATCTTACATTTTCTTATTTAGGTACCAACTTCCCTAAAAATAACTCACCTACTCGAACATCTCAAGGAGTTGAACTTGATTTTCTTAGTTTAAATTTCATATACGGTTCAACCATGGTTTAACCGATTGAATCTTAACTTGAATGTTTTAACGGTTATTTTTTAAGTTCGGTTTTTAAAACATTAGTGTTTATGCTATCAGTTGTACCATGATATAATAAGTATTTAGAAATAATTATACAATGTTAAACTTGATTAACAAAAATAATAATAAAAAAAGTAAAATGCATCAGTGGAGTTATATGATTAACAATCTCACTGTTTACTGAATTATAATGTTATGCATTCGATTACTTGCTTGCGCCATCTTGACAATTCTGTATTCGTATCCCTAAATAAAATAATAAGTAATGTAGGATTGGATACTTCAAATTTTCCCAAACGTCATTCATTCACAACATTTGCATCAACTAAAAGTAAAAAATAATTGAAATCGTATTTCATGCATTTTTATTTACTTACCTACTTCATGTATTGCGTGAAGTTGATCAAAATTCAATCAGAATAAAATTCCAATTCTACAGGAAGATCTGTAAAAGCGATTCGACATTGCACTTAAAATTAGCAGGCGAAATATTTCGAGCTTTGACCTGCACCAGACTATTTTATGAAACTACATTCCACGTAGGTTATTTCGGTATGCTCTTTTTATTTTTTAACTCAGTTTGCCGTCACATTTTGATGAGTCAGAGCATGTTTAACCGAATATTTTTATTTGTGAGTTTCATCATTTCCAGTCTGTTTTAATGAACTTTGTAGCATGTAGATCATTCTGGTATGTTAGTTTCTATTTTTTTGACTTAGCACGCGTCAAATTTTATTCATTTTCAATTCATTGCGAACTCCCTTTTCTTATTCAAAAAAATTAAAAAAAAATATTTTATTAATCACGTTGTTTTCTTCTTTCAATATTTTAATTTAATTGGTTTTTTTATAGATAATGTTAATACCATGGTTTTAGGATTGACATTATTTTGCTAAAACATGGTTTGCAACATGATGTTATAGAAGGTGTTCTAACATGCTGGTCAGGTTCATTTGAAGGCAGGTGTTCTGACAGATGTTGTAACATCTTGTATCAGAACATCACTACAAGCTGTATTTTTTCTTGACAGATTTAAATTGATTATGTGAGATACCTTTTGGTTTTATCTCACTGATTTTTTGTAGGTCAAGAATATTCAATCTGAAACATTTGATTTATCTCCAGTTGTACACAGGTTGCCAAAATTGGGCTTTGAGACAATTTAGGAAACCTTGTGTTTTATTCCAAAATTCATGGAGATCTTTCTGCATAAATTGGTGCATCCCTCAGCGTGTTCAACAAGGAATATATGTGCGAAGATTTAAGGCTCATGCATTACTGAGGAGTATTTAAAGAAATTACCTAGACCTAAATTCATTAAGAAATTTGTAAAAAAATAAGGGAAGCCTAGACCTATTCATGTTTCTAGTCACCGTGATCGCGATTGTAGTTTCTAGTCACTGGGATTGTGGATTTAGATCTCATTGCAAAGATTGGGAGTGAGATGACAATTTCTCATATCTAGGAGGTTTCTTGGTAAAAGTTGCAATGGGTAGGGATTAAGTGATAAGTTGTAAACTGAGACTATTTAGGCTTAAAATTAATACTAGATAGTAGATTTCTGAAAGTTCTGAAGTATTGAGCTCTAAAGATTTGACTAATTTTGGTAAAATAAAATGTTGAACAGGATGTTAAAATATGTGAAGAATAACATGGAGAACAAGATATCCTACGATAAAGACTCGACATCTTGGACTGCCACAGCAGGATTTCGGTAAATCTGTTCCAAGATTTAAGGAGCGCTTTAGCAGTGGATCAAGGAATATTTTAACAGAAGATTCGAAGCCCATGGACAAATGAAGTTTATAAAATGAAGGCTTAGACCTAGATATTTTCTACAAATGGTCAAGGTGTTCCTCTTCCGTTTGAGACATGGCTATCATGTCATCCACGTAGACCTCTATCTCGTGATGAATCATATTGTGAAACAGAGCTACCATGGCGCACTGATAAGTTTCCCAAGCGTTCTTCAACCCGAATGGTATAACTTTGTAACAAAATGTACCCCACTTTGTGAAGAATAGTTTTGAGTCCATATTGGAGAGATATTGTTGAATCCTTGGATTGGAGTTCTGATCTTGCATGGTTTCAAAATGGGCGTCAAAGGATTACTGAAAAGTTTCAAACTGAAGAACTAGTTGGAAGAGAAAAACTAGTGCTCATATAAGATTGCGTAGTTTTATTTTTCTTTCTATTTTACTTTTAGTGATTGATATTAATAACAAAGTTTAATATACGATTCAACCACGGTTTAATTGGTTGAACCAATTGAACTTTAATATGCATGTTTTAACGGGTTTTTTTCGGTTCAATTTTTAAAACATTAGTATTTATGCTATCGGTTGTACCACAATATAGTAAGTATTTAGAAATTATTAGACAATGTTAAACTTGATTAACAAAAATAATAATTAAAAAAAGTAAAATACATTAGTGGAGTTATATGATTAACAATCTCACTGTTTATTGAATTATAATGTTATGCATTCGATTCTTTGCTTGCGTCATCTTGACAATTCTGTATTCGTATCCCTAAATAAAATAATAAGTAATGTGGGATTGTCATACTTCAATTTTTCCCAAACGTCATTCATTCACAACATTTGCATCAACTAAAAGTTAAAAATAATCAAAATCGTATTTCATGCATTTTTATTTACTTACCTACTTTATGCATTGCGTGAAGTTGATCAAAATTCAATCAGAATAAACTTTCAATTCTACAGGAAGACCGGTAAAAGCGATTCGACATTGCACTTAAAATTAGCAGGTGAAACCTTTCGAGTTTTGACATGTACCAGACTATTTTATGTAACTACGTTGCACGTAGGTTATGTCGCTATGCTCGTTTTATTTTTTAACTCAGTTTGCCGTCACATTTTGATGAGTCAGAGCAGTTTAAATGAATATTTTTATTTGTGAGTTTGATCATTTCCAGTCTATTTTATTGAACTTTGTAGCATGTAGATCACTTTGGTATGTTCGTTTCTATTTTTTTGACTTAGCACGCGTCAAATTTTATTCATTTTCAATTCATTGCGAACTCCCTTTTCTTATTCAAAAAAATTAAAGAAAAATATTTTAGTAATCAGGTTATTTTCTTTATTTAATTTTTTAATTTAATTGGTTTTTTTATAGATAATGTTAATACCATGGTTTTAGGATTGACATACTTTTGCTAAAACATGGTTTGCAACATGATGTTATAGAAGGTGTTCTAACATGCTGGTCAGGTTCATTTGAAGGCAGGTGTTCTGACAGATGTTGTAACATCTTGTATCAGCACATCAGTACATGCTGTATTTTTTCTTGACAGATTTAAATTGATTATGTGAGATTCCTTTTGGTTTTATCTCACTGATTTTTTGCAGGTCAAGAATATTCAATCTGAAAAATTTAAGTTATCTCCAACTGTACTCAGGTTGCCAAAATTGGACTTTGAGACAATTTAGGAAACCTTGTGCTTTGTTCCAAAATTCATGGAGATCTTTCTGCATAAATTGGTGCATCCCTCAGCGTGTGCAACAAGGAATATATGTGTGAAGATTTACGGCCCATGGATTACTGAGGAGTATTTAAAGAAATTACCTAGACCTACATTCATTAAGAACTTTGTAAAAAAATAAGGGAAGCCTAGACCTATTCACGTTTCTAGTCACTGTGATCGTGATTGTAGTTTCTAGTCACTGTGATTGTGGATTTAGATCTTATTGCAAAGATTTGGAGTGAGATGACGATTTCTCATATCTAGGAGGTTTCTTAGTAAAAGTTGCAATGGGTAGGGATTAAGTGATAAGTTGTAAACCGAGACTATTTAGGCATATAATTAATACTAAATAGTAGATTTCTGAAAGTTCTGAAGTATTGAGCTCTAAAGATTTGACTAATTTTGGTAAAATAAGATGTTGAACAGGATGTTAAAATATTTGAAGAACATCATAGAGAACAAGATATCCTACCATAAAGACTCGACATCTTGGACTGTCACAACAGGATTTTGGTAAATCTGTTCCAAGATTTAAGGAGCACTTTAGCAGTGGATCAAGGAATATTTTAGCAGAAGGTTCGAGGCCCATGGGCAAATGAAGATTATAAAGTGAAGGCTTAGACCTAGGTATTTTTAACTAATCCTTGTGTAAACTTCAAAAAATAAAAATAAGGGTTTAGTGTTTTGAGAGTTGTGTACTTTCTTGTGTTGTAAGTCAACCTTTGTATCAATTTGATGCATCGTGGTAGACATAATTGTTTATGAAGATTCAGAAGCCTTTAGGTAATGAACTGTGTATTGTTCTTGGATGAACCTTTAAGAAAATCCAAACATGTTTGTTTGTTAATAGAGCTGCATCTAGGGCACAACATCACTTCTGATTTTTTCCTTCTGGCATCTGTGTAGAAAGTCTTCCAGATCTTCATTCTCTTTTGGAAATGCCGTTTTATTCACTTCCTCCTGTCGAATAGCTTCTTCTGAAGCCTTGGCGTCAGAGACTTCGACCATGTTGACCTCCATGTTGCTCTTGGAAACAAGATTCATTTTCTGCATTTTGGCCTCTAAATTCTCTGTCGAACCTTTCACAACAGCCAAGTAATAACCTGTGGTGGTTC